CCCCTAGGAAGATGGGCACGGGGGTGGGGCAGCGTCCGTGGGAGGAGGCCAAGCCTCCTGTATCCCCCGTCAGGATGGAGACTCCCAGTCACAGGCTGCCCCTTCCCCACTGGGGGCATCACTGGGGGTCTGTCCTGGGAGAGGGAGAGGGCTTCCTGCGGGTCCTCGTTGTGCCCAGGAGGGGCCTCAATGGCATTTCACACCCCTGCATCCTCCCCGGGGCACCCCCCGGGTCCCGCCCTCCTGGGGTGAGTGACGGTGTGTCCCATGCAGAGCAGAGGAAGAAGTACTCCAACTCCAACGTCATCATGCACGAGACGTCCCAGTACCATGTGCAGGTGAGCCCCAGCCTCCAGGGAGCAGCCCCTCTGCACGGCACCCCACCTCTGTGCTCCAAGATCCACAGGAAGGTGGGGAAACTGAGGCCCAGGGAGATGTGGCCAGCCCAGGCTCTGACACCCACAGCAGCAGGGGGAGGCCAGAGTGGGGATTGCCCCACTCCTGTCCTGGGCTCAGCTTCCCTCCAGTCGTGGGGACAGGGAGCCCCGCCCTGGGGAGCAGGTGCTGGTGGCTGGGGATACACCCTGGTGCTGTCAGCCCTAGGTGGGAAGAGCCCGTGGAAGGAAATTGTCATCCTGGCCCCAAAACAAAGAACTGGATTAGGAGGAAGAGGGCGAACAAAGATGCCCTTTATTGAGCGCGGCCCGGCTGGGAGGCTCGCAGGCCTGAGTGTCAGAGGGCTGCGCTCGGTCACCTCTCTCCTCAGACCAGCCCCTACCGGGAGGGTTTTCTCCCAGGCCAGTTTTAATTCACACTTGGAACTCAGGAAGTACGTGTTTTAAATGGCCTTCCTTGCCTGGGAGCTGGCCAGGTTCCTGTCTGTGGTCCAAGCCTGTGGGGAGGTAAGGGGGACCTGGAGCCAGGGTCCTCCTGCTCCGCAGCCCCCATCGTGGCCCACCTGCTCGCTGGTGGCCCTTGTCTTCCCGCCCCACGCGGGGCTCCACACCCGCAGAGGCCAGGCGTCGCTGTTCTCTGAACCTCAGTTTCCTTGTCTACAGAATGGGTCCAGAGAATCACGGGAGGCCCTAAGGCTCCCGAGTCTGCTGAGTTGAGGTGACCAGGCGGGGCCTCCGCACCATCTCAGTGACTGCTGCCAGCTATGTTGAGGGGCAGGGCATGGAGGGTGGACGGTCATCGTGGTCGCTTTCCTTCTCGGGGGTGGGGCTTTGCCTACCCGGTGAGGAACCACCCGGGGCCTCCCAGCCTGCCTCCTGGACTTTGGCCCATGCTGGCCTGGCTCAGCCAGGCGGTTGTGAAAGGCTCTGGCTACAGAGGACCTTTCCCGCGGCCTGCCCAGCGGCCCACAGGGCTGAGGGGGTGGGTGGGGCTTCCCTGCCCCTCCCAGACAAGGAAACTGGAAACTTCCGTAGGGTCTCTGTGCACGCACGTCAGCACAAGCTCCTGTGTGTGCGGCCAGGTGTCGGACTAGAAACACCTCTGAATCACTGGCTTGTCAGTTCACTGTCTAGCTGCCTTTCAAAGAGCAGAAATGTTTCATTTTGATGATGTCCGATCGTATCCACTTTTTAATTTTATGGTTTTATGGTTTCCTGGTCTCCTGAGACAAAGCCCCCTGACTGCGGCTCTGAGTTCTTCCTGTGTTTTCTTTTGGATGCTCTATAGTGCAAGTTTCCGCATTTAGGTATCCATTGTAAATTCATTTTTGCACGTGGTGTGAGGCAGGGTTCAGGTTCATGTTTTCCCCATGTCAATGTCCAGTTACAATGAAAAGACTTTCCTTCCCACGTGGAATTATCCTGATGCCGTTGTGAGAGATGGGCTGGTTGGGCACGGACAGGGCTGTTCTGGACTCTGCCTCGCTGACCTGCTGTACTGTTCCACTCCTGGTAGTTTTATCGTCAGTCCTGAAATCAGGTGGTTTGAGTCCTTCAACTTCACTCTTTTTCTTCAATATTTTCCTGACTATCCTCAGTTCTTTGGACTTTTGTATGTATTTTAGAATCAAATTATCCATTTCTACCCCCAGAAAAAGGCTGCCAGAATTTTGATTAGCATTGAGTCCAATCTATGAATCAGTTTAGGGAGGCCTGACATCTTAATACTATCTTTCGGGCTGGCCCGATGGTGCACTCGGTAGAGTGCAGTGCTTGGGAGCGCAGCGGCGCTCCCACCGAGGGTTCGGATCCCATATAGAGACCGGTCCGCTCACTGGTTGAGCGCGGTACGGGCGCGACACCAAGGGTTGCGATCCTGTTACCGGTCACGGAAAAAGACAAAAAGGGAAAAAAAAAAATACTGTCTTTCTATCCCCTAATACAGTTTGTTTCTCCATTTATTAGGTTTT